GGCTGCTAGTATTTTCGTTTACAGTTTTGCTACGAAAAAACGATATCAATATCTTTGTCTTCACTTTCTTATCACTAGCAACCTTTTTCTTTTGCTCATATTTTAATTTGGCCAGCCAATTGACAATAAATCCCAGCTAGCGTATTCAAGTTGATAAAATATGACTTCCACTGCGATAAATGTGTCTAAAATGCTAGTGAAGTTACTGATTGGAATGAGTGGAACGTGAGTTTTCAAGTAGTTTTCAGCGAAAACTGGTTTTCGTTTGACAGATTTTACATGGACGAAAACACAAATTTTAGGTCGACTACCAGTTATAGCAACGAAAACATGTTTTCGATGTCGGTCCGAACATGGTATAACAGCGAAATATGTCATTACCAGGGCCGAAGAAAATAAGCAAGAAAAAATCCGTTTTAAGCTCTTAGATAAGCACTAAAACACTGGTAAATACGCTTGCAAATATGTTCGCAAAACAACAGTTAATATTTTTTATTCAATGTTGCCGCCGAAAACATTATCGCATAACATTATTTGTAAATATGTATTTACTTAAAGGCTCTACTCATTACTGTTCTTTTCCCATCTGCATTTTGTCTTATTCACATATTTACAATATGTAGCATTTACATGTACAAAGTTACGTTTTAAAACTCCTCCCGCCAATACACAACTGTATGTTCATTCATATATGCACATGTACGTATAGCAAAGGCTCGATGGAAAATTACTTCGCGAGCATATAGCCCAAAATACAATAACGCAGTGGCAGTGGCAGTTTTTCGAAATCAGCTGTTTTTTAGAAAGTATGGTGCTCAATGAAGCGACTAACAATACAGCAGTGGCAGCTAGCAGCACTGATCAGTTTAGCCCAAATTCTAAATTCACTGCCACTGCCACGCAGCAAACTTGGCATGTTGAATTTGACATAAATGAAACGCAGCCAACTTCTGTTTATGTCACTAACAGGTCTATTCTGCGCTGGTAATAAAAAGTTTGTAACCGGTAAATAAAGTTCCTGTCAATTTTAAACCCTTTTCGCATTCTGTGTACTCTTGTAACCGATAAATTTTGTTACCAGCTCATAAACTGGTAACAAATTATTGCCCCATGAAATATGCAATGCCAGGATTTGTAGAATTCTTCCTAGCTGAATTGCTGAATATTTTAACTGCATTACCAACGTACCTAGAATCGCGGTGACAAGAACTGGTAACATTTCTTGGTAATACAATTTTCCGGTTACAAAATCTTCGGTAACGTGCAGAATAGACTTGTAAGGCGTAAAAGGCGACAACAAAAATGTGAACAAACAAATAGGGAATATCAAAAAAAGCAGTCACTGACAACGCCGTATTGTGTTTGCTGCGGCAGGGACTGCCAATATTAGCAGTAACAGCTGATTTTAAAAACTGTCACTGCCACTGCCACAGCGCTATTGTATTTTGGGCTTATCACATTTTATAACGAGGCGTCGGAGCGTTAAAACGAAATTTTTTTAGTTCCATTTCATGTCACCGCAGCCACCTTTGTGTGCGACCTCTAAGGATTTGGATGACAGTTGAAGAGACTGAAGGTTGCCGATATGACGTAGGGTTGCCTATTTACGCGGAACTTAAATTTTAGGAAAACGTCATACATACCTTTCTTTAAAGTGCTGTATCCGTGGAAACCTTTTAACGAAACTTAATGAAAAAAATGCGTTTCTTCCTTATTTTTATGGGCTTTAATTGTACATTTTTTATACAAATGTGCAACGTATAACAAAACAAAAAAAAACATTAACTGGTGGTGTGGAGTGGGTATTTAAAACCCCTGCAAATCCATCAGCTGGTGGAATATGGGAGCGAATGGTTCGCTCCGTGAAGCGTGTATTGTCCTTTGTGCTAAAAGAGAAGGCTCCACAAGCGGAAACGCTAATGTCGTTCCTTATCGAAGCTGAGAATCTGGTCAACTCGCGTCCTTTAACACATCTACCGCTAGAAAGTGACAGCTCCGAGCCTCTAACACCGAACCACTTTCTACTTGGTGGTCCCAACTTTGTGCAAACACCAACACTGGACGAACATGTATGCTAACGTAAGCAGTGGCACATTCTTCAACAGCTTAAGCAAACCTTTTGGTAGAGATGGGTCCTGGAGTACCTTCCAAAACTTACGCGCCGAACTAGATAGCATCAGTTCGTAAAGCCTATTCAAATTAACGACGTCGTGGTGAATGGAAACGAGGAATCGTGACTGAGGTATTTCCGGCAGCTGACGGACAAGTATGATCCGCAACAGTAAAGACATCAACTGGTTACCTACGAAGGCCTGCTTCCAAACTTGCTGTACTAGATGTACTTGGTGAATCTGAAATCCCGATCAAATTCACAGGCGGGGGGATGTTGAGCAGTTGAACGTGCAACCAAGGTGTATTAAACAAGATGTGATTGACAACTCAGGTAGGCTCTCTTCTAAGGTACTATTATGCCAAAAAATATAAACAAGCGATTCAAGATTCATAAAAAAAATTTCAATTTGACTTTATAGGATGGTTCTTCTGAGAGCAACGTCAAATTCAATCACACTTTGTTTAATACCTTTTGCGTTCAATTAGCAATTTTGTATTTATTTTTGTCGGACTCCGATTTGACATTTACGATATTTATTTTGAAAACAAACTGAAATTTGAAATCTTTGTTAAGTAAGTCACCCTGCAACTGTTTAACATATTTGTAAGATATAAAAAGGTAACGCTACTTCTTAACAACCATTTTTATTATGAAGAGCAATGGTGTGGAAAAGGTAGGTTGACGGGAAAAATTAGCAAATAAGTAAGTGAAATTACATGAAATTGTATCTTATTAACTTATATTATTTAATGCAGACAATAAACTCCATAAACTCCTCGTCCTCCTAATAAACACTCCCGTAAACACCCGCAACTATTTGTATATTAAACTGAGAATAACAAATACCCATACCCAAACAGAGTACGTGTTATTTTTGCTTTTAATTCCCAATAGTGGTTGATTTATTTCTATTAAAAAATGTGATGAAAATCTAACTATTATGCATGCTTACATGTCGTCCCGCAATATTTTGTTACCCGCGTTTCAAAACTTGTTTTTTTTCTGACATCAGTTCGCATTAGGGATGTCAGTGGCAAAAAAAAAAATCAATGTATACCACATGATTCACTAATACAAGGATAGATAATTATTGACAGCCGCGGCTTGACAACAAAAGGTTGCATTTACGAAGGACAGAGAAAGGAGAAGAAAACAATCCCTTGTTGCGAAAATGGTAGTAGATTAGCTGAATT